TACGCAAAACAGAGCGTGCTGCTCTGACCGGTTTTAAAGGGTTAAAGAATATATTATTGCTCGTACAGAGAACAAGATAAAACCCGGGCATATTGTTCAAATATGGCAGCGTATAGCACAAGAGCTTCAGCTGCCTTTGCCTTATTGGATCACGACACGGTGGAGAATTAAACGTGAGGTTTGATAACATGTCCTCCACTGAACTGTCCACCAACAGCACAATCTGATAAATCTGACATCATAACAGCCTTTCACTGCTCATTAGGGAAGACAATTAATCAGAATACGACCCAAGACAGTAACCGTAAGTAAGAGGAATACGCCGTTCTTAGATATCAAGAATGGTGAAATCATCAGAGCGGCAGAGCGCTGGCTCTTCCTACAACCAACATTCCCATCAGGAAAAATTTAGACAAAAGGACAGAAGGAGAAGTGAGATTCTCGAGTTGAAGTCATCATGCCACAGCGAGAAATAACAGATGAATGAGCAGACACAAACACAGACAGACAAACAAACAAACAGACATACTGTTGAAAGGTCTCAGCAGAGTGTGTGTGTGTGTGCGTGCGTGATCATGGGCGACTGTGCGTCACTCCAGTCGAACCATGCCAGTGTGCCTCTCATTATTCTGATTTGGCTCTGTCTCCTGTTGGCCTGTCTAGTGGAGGATAAGGGAGAAGGACTCTCTCTCTCACTCAGTCCTTTATTATCAGGCTGGCTGGGCAGCCGGGGCCAGGCACAGCTCCGTGTTTACCAAGAATCAGCTCGTACGATAAAAAAGAAGGAAAGAAAACGGATGAAGGAAACAAGGCGGCGAAGGAGAAAATGAAAAATCAAAAAAAGCAAAAGCAGCCGAGACGGGAGAAATAAATTCTATAGATTCAAAGACGATTAAAGGGAAGAAATGCAGAAATGTAGGCGTTGCATACAGGAAACGAGAGACACGGTCACTGGGGTCAGTGTAACGTTTAACTCTGTCCTGACCCCTTTTAGGAGGTCAGGACTACAAACAGGAAAACCCTGCTGTCTTCTGCCATCGACTCCACAGTCTGCTACTCAGATTACAGCCCGGTCTCGTCTGCATCAGAGTATCGTTGTCTTTGATTGGCCCAAAAAGCCCCGGGAGCTCCAATGAAGTCTGAGTGGCACAAACTAATTGGTTGTGTTTTGTGTTTCTGTCTAATGTGTACGTCTGAGCGTACATATGAGCCCAAACTGCCTGCAGTGCACACGCGTCCGTGAAGGAAAGCTACAGATAGGGCTGCCAGAACTGCACACACACACACACAAACACACACAGATAACACAGGCAGGATTCTGACACACATCTAGGATCTCTCCGACAGGAAAGACATCGGAGCTGTCGTTAGTTTGTTCATTAGTGCTTAAGAGCAGCCCGGCTGACACGTGTTAAAGGTGGTTTAATAAGCACAAAAACTTCATTGCACAAAGAGAAAACAGTAAAGCTAAATTAAGCAAAGTGAGGAGACACATGAGAGACGCTGCTGCATCTCCGTGCTGATGCGCTGTTGGCTGGTTTTAAACATTACAAAAAGATTGTTAAAAAACAACAACACAAAAAAACATAGTTTTGGCATTAAAAAGGAGCCGATGTGCGCCTGGGGGGATTTAACACTGCTGTACCTCTGCACGCACACACACACACACTTATTCACATTCTCACTCGTGTGCACAAATGCTCCAACACCCCTCTGCATTTGTATCAATCCGAGGAAACGCACGCACACACAGATCCACGCCGTCTGGTGCAGATCAATTGTTTTCATGTGGTAGAAGGTCTCAGCTGAGGCACCTTAAGAGAACAGAGCGCAGCGCATGGCGCCGTCTCCCTCTTCTCTGGTTCTTTACCTTAAGGAGATCTATCTCTTTGATGCAATCTTGCCGAGCTTTGGCATCCATCAAGTCGAATATCTATCAAGAGATCAAAAGGGGAGAGAGAGAGAGAGGGTGAGAGAGGACAGAGAGGAGGTGTTATGACATATTCAAAAAATGTAAGATGGAGACATGCAGAAAACTACGGGTGGAAAAAAACACTAAACAGAGAACACGGTTACTGTTATCTAGAGGGTGGCGCTGGAGTGTCTACAGGTGTTTCATATCTGAGTAACAAGCCCGCATATCTGAGGTGTGTGTGTGTGTGTACACAAAACCTGCCACACTAGCACACACTGAGAGTGTAGAAGGCAGTGAATACCACAGATAGTGTCAGTGCAGATACACACAAGTGCAGAGTCACACAAGTGCAGAGTCACACAAGTGCAGAGTCACACAAGTGCAGA